CTGTGCTCCGCAACAAGAGAAGCCACCGCAATGAGAAGCCCGCGCACCACAACGAAGACCCAACACAGCCAAAAATAAATAAATAAAATTTTAAAACACTGCCTGATTTTGATAACTGCACTGTGGTTATATAAGAGGATATCCTTATTCTTAGAAAATATACATTGAAGTTAGGGGTAAATGGGCGTATTTCCAACTTCTCTCAAAAATACTATACATACACCAAGAATGATAAATGAGAAAAAGTGTGAACAATTGGTAAACATGGGTAAAGGGTACAAAGGAATTCCTTGTATTATTTTCACAACTTTTCTGTATCAAAATCAAAAGTTATCAAAAAATTTAACCCCTTAAAAGTAAAACATAAAGGTAGTGAATATTACCAGTATACTTTATAAAAAGTGTTTCCATTTTCTACCTGGTGATAGGGGTGCATTTTACTGTCTATAAATTATGTCTTTAAGAAAAAAAAACTAGTGCTTCCCTGGTGGCGCAATGGTTGAGAGTCCGCCTGCCGATGCAGCAGACTCGGGTTCGTGCCCAGTCCGGGAAGATCCCACATGCCGCGGAGTGGCTGGGCCCGTGAGCCGTGGCCGCTGAGCCTGAGCGTCCGGAGCCTCTGCTCCGCAACAGGAGAGGCCAAAAACAAAAACAAAAAATCTGTTTCCTCATTTATAAAATGAAGATAATAGTACTTCTCTCACAGAATTGTTGTAAAAATTAAGTATCATGATATACATAAAGCCTTAGAATAGTAACTAGCACACAGTAGGTGCCCAATAAATACAAACTATTAGTAAGTATTCATTTGAAGAGATCAAATTAAGTTCTGCCAGGCTCAATCTGGCTAGACCAGGAATAAACATGAGTGACAGCTGATAATGAGCTCCTTTTTCTAGTCCCAGTTTCTTCCCTATTAAACGCTCATCTTCTGCCCACTCCTGAACTCCTCCAGAATTCTTTTTTTTTTTTTTTCTGTATGCGGGCCTCTCACTGTTGCGGCCTCTCCCGTTGCGGAGCACAGGCTCCGGACACGCAGGCTCAGCGGCCATGGCTCACGGGCCCAGCCGCTCCGCAGCATGCGGGATCTTCCCAGACCAGGGCACGAACCCGTGTCCCCTGCATCGGCAGGCGGACTCGCAACCACTGCGCCACCAGGGAAGCCCCCTCCAGAATTCTTGACATCATCTTCCCCGACTTACATCTTCTGGCTCTGAACTCAAGTGATAATCACACTATTGAAGTCAATTATCCTGAATGCAAATGCTCCGGCCCTGTCCTGTTTCCTACCACGCCAGAAGCCCCTGGAGCTCTCGGGTTCCCGTTCTGTTTCTTCAGTGTCCTTTTCCCTCCTTCCCCTCTTGGCACAGCACTGAGGCCGTGTGCTCAGTAAGTAACTCTGGTCTTTGAAAAGCTCAGGTGGAGTTTCAGGAGGCTTTACTCGTGCATGTCTCAATGGAGCAGGGTGAAAACAAATGACACTGATGCTTATTCATGAAGATGCACAGTATAGTGTTTTCCAACAATTTTTAGGCTTTTAATCACCAGGAACTCATTTGAGACACCCATTCTCTCCCTCAGATCTTGCTAACTTAGACTCAAAGAGCCAACTCCTTGAACCCAAGGATTATGCCCTCTTCCTGTTCTAGAACAGTCCCCTGACTACCTACCATTAATACCATGTGCTCTATTCTGATTCAAATAGCAGCATCTGCTTTTTAAATACTTGTGTTAGCATATATATTTGACCCGCAATGTCTGTAAGGTAGAAATCATCCTTTCCTCTCTTTACAGATGAGGAAACTGAAGTTTGAAGAGACTAAGCAACTCCCACCGTCACATGGCAAGTTAAGTGGTGGAGGAGGGACTCAGACCCAGGTCGTCCAGCTGGGAACCCTAAGCTCTTCCCGTGGAGGCCCTGCCCCTCCCTTGTTCCCTGCTCCCTGCCCGTGCCCTCCCTTCGAGGCACTTTACTGCTGGAGCAGTCACCCTGACTCTCACCCATGTTCCACACAAGACTGCTCAGCAAACACGGGAACGTCTGCCCTGCTCCTGCCAGGTCTGTTTACCCCAGCAACATACTTTAGTGTCCGAGGGGAAGTGGTGCTTGCAGCACACTTAGAGAAAAGAGTGGTGATAACTTCCAGATGAGCTTGTGATTCTAAATTTAACATTCCTTTCGGTACTGAGAATTTCCACTTTCCCCCTTCCACCCCTTGGCATTTATGTAATTATAAAGCATGCCACAGGAGCTCGTTTGTCTCAGCACCACTCGGGATGAAGGTTGTTCCAGCCCCATCAAGTACATCCTTGTGGAAAAACTTTGCAGAATTTATTTGGACAGGTTCAAAAATAGTCCTTCAACAATACAATCAGATTGAACCATGACAAGTAAAATATAATTATGGCTTGGTTACATTAAAAAAAAAAAAGTAAACTGAGGTTTGGGAAAACTAAAAGCAAAAGTACATAGATATTTCCTTCATCCCCAATTTCTGCATCTCCTGCAAGCAGGATTTCAAGACTGCATCCGTGGATCTTTTGAAATGGGTGAGAGAGGATGACAATCAAGGAGACAGCTCAACAGAGTGTGTTCTGAGGCCATTTCTCAGAACAAAGGCATACTTCTGCACAAGGCAAATGCAGCCTGATAAAGGCTCCCCCAGTGGGTTCTCAGAATGCCAAAGTCATTCACCTAAATGAGTTCAAAATACATATTGTTCTGGGCCAAATTATACAGTGTCAAGTTCAGACTGTATGGATTTATATATGTTGGCAGGGCAGGCCACTTTTGGGGCGCCACAGCTTTATCCCAGTATCCTGTGCCCAGTTGGGTTCCCATCACTCTCTCCCCAAACCCATGAATTTCCTTGTATTTGGTTCCAGAAGTGCAGACAAAAAGCAAAGTTTCACAGGCCCACAAGGGAACAGGGCCCCAGAGGACTTGAATTTCTGATGAAACTTAAAGTAGAACAGAATGTGTGCCTTTGCCAACAAGCTGGGACTTTCTGAAAGGTGATTTGAGACGGGAGCAGGGAGAGGGGACAAGATCGAGCATTGTGCTTTGGGCCAGTCTCTGCTAAGAGCTACAAGGCGGGAATACAAAGTACTCTGGAGTTAAAGCAAACAGCCAATGCTTCCCTTGGCTGGCCTTTGCCCAGAACTATTCCCTCACAGAGCTCAGTTTCTCAAAACACACAAGTGGTGTTTCAAAGATGCCGGGCAAAGGGGTCCATCCGAATAAATGCCTAAAACCTAATAACGAATGACATAGAGAAGTCTGATTCCAGTGTCCATTTCCACTCCATATTCTACTGACACATCTAGAGAATTAGTGGGCATGCTGTGTTTTCTGTTTTTGTCTTTTTTCGGAGGGGACCTGTTATTCTCTCTGCCTGAATAAAGATGGAAGAATTGGGAGGAAACAGTAACTTTTAAAGCGAATATGGAGAAAAGTGTAAGAGATGAAACGGGTTGTAAGGTTATTTTTCTTTCAATTACATGAGTGTCTTGATCATGGAATGAAGAGGGCAGAGTGAAAAGCAGCGGAATGGCTATGGCAGGCCAGGGCCATGACTTCCAGTCCTGGGCTCAGGCCCATCTTTGGGCTTCAACTGATCCAAAGAAATGAAAAAGCCCAGAGAGCAGAGGAGCCTGGACAGTTTGTAGGGCCGAGAGCCACTGCTGCCTGTTTTGGTCCAGAGTTTAGCACACCTTTCTGGGAAGGGGGCTGGGGTGAAGGACGAGGAAGGAAAAGGGGAGAAGGTATACCTACACTTACAAGAATTGTCTAATCACTGTTCCTGAATTGGGGTCAGACACCAGCTCCACCCTGATGCCCACCCCATCCCTCCACACCTCTCCTGCCCCTGCATACTCGGGCTATACTGACCTTCTTGTGGTTCCCCAACAATAAAACGCATTGCCATGATTCTGAGCCTTTGCAAAAGCTACCTTCCCTCTCTTCCTGTCTGTCTGGAAGGTCCAATGAACTTCAAGCTTCAGCCCGCGTTCTCCCCTCCTCTGCCAGGCCGTCCTAAGGAGACTTAGCTGCTCCTTCTCCTTTGCTCTCACTGCACTTTGTCTACACTACTCCTCGTCCAGTGTCAGAAAGGGTTTGAGTGTCTGTCTTTGCTTCAGACTCTAAGCTCCTTAAAGGGGCCTGTGTCTTGTCTCTCATCCATTTATCTCTGCTGCCTATAACAGTGCTCAGCTCACGGCAGATGCTCAATCAGCATTTAAAGGGACAAGTGGGATCAAGTTCCACCCATCTTAATTTTATTATAAAGAGGGAGAAATAAGATCTGAAAGACTGAGCTCTGAGATTCTGCACATTTTTAGAAGAAATTGCTACAATACTACTTTTGTGTCTAGCCTCCCTGGTTCAAGTGAAACCAAAGGTATAAATTCACAGAGGGGCATGAGTAGTGGCCCTTTTGTCCCCAGACTTCAGCTGCTATGTGAAGATGAAATCAACCCCAAACATGGCCTTCCGGCCAGCTGTGTGAGCCACGAGCTCTCCCCAGCCCCCAGGACAAAGCCCCCAGTGCTGAGGCCCGGACGGTGTTGAGCTCCTTGAAGCTGTGGGGAATCACGCCATCAATGGAGTGGGCCACTGACAGACACAGCGAGGTCCCGTACCTGCCAAGACAGCCCACTACCCGACCTCAGCGCAGCAGACACAGCTGAGACGTGCCCAGCCAGGGCCGATGATGAGAACACAGGGTTTTAAAGAACGGCCAGAGTAAGCGAGGATCCTCAAGGCATTTGTCATCTTCTTCGGACAACGCGGCAGCACTCTCCAAGCTCCGATTTATGAGGTGGAAGCAGCTCTGAAACTACACGTTAAGGGGCGAGTGGGGAGGAATGCACAACGGCTGTGGTTCCAGTAAGGCTCTAAAGAGAGGCTGGGACCAGGCGGTTACAGCTGCTGGCAGTCCAAATATACTTTTCCTCCTGCTCAGAGACCCTTTAAAGGCAAAGAAACGCAGGCAATGCACTGGGCTGCCTATTTTTGTTTCATTTATTTCTTTCAAGACCACCTCCTTGCAATTTCCAGAGAGAAAATACAAAACAAGAAACAGACTTGGTTTCAAATACATAAACAGTGTGCTGGAGTTTAAAGCATTACTGATAACATTGTTACAGAAGAGTGTCAGCTTACTCCAGGGCACTTCAGTATTCCTGAGGAATAAACGTGATTTCTCTTTCCCTCCCACCGGGATGTTCTCAGACGTGAGTCACTGCTCCTGCTCCTGTAAGGAAGGACACTCAGGTTAGAACTGTGCACACAGCGTTCCGACAACCCTCTCTAACTTGCTGCTGCAGGTCAGACCCAGAGGACTGACGGGCCCCAAGCCTTACCACTCTGTTTGCTTTAAATCTGTCTCACAAGAGGACTGTATCCTTCCAGCCCAGGTTCTTCAGAGTGGCTCCTCAATCTTTGAGGGGGGAAAATAGAAAAGGAACGCAACAGGGCTGAACAGTCTGTACCTGGATAACTATATTCCTAAAACCCATCAAAGGGACGGATCCCAGGTGACTGGAAAGAGCATGGCTCTGGAATCAAATGGCCTACCAATGACAGGAACTTCGGCAAGTTTCTTAAACCTCAGTGAAATTCGGCCTTCTCATCTGCTGAATGAGGGTAGTAAAACCTCTCTCACAAATCTACTGGGAGAGAGGTCTAGAGAAAGAATGTAAAGATGGAGCGCCTAGGATGGTCCACAGGTCATAGCAGGCACTCCGCAAGCAATTACCATGATATGACTACATTGAAAAAGCCCCAAGTTGGGATTTTGTTCCTCTTTTCAGAGAATGGAGGATGACAACATCAAGGCACAGACTCCAGTTCAGATAAAGTTACAAAAGGCCATTTTGGAGCCGTACGCACAAGGCTGTAAATACTGTAACAATATTTTCCACAGTAACTCTCAGCCGTTAAATACATCCACATATAACCACCCCTGAGCCATTTATCCATGACAACTCAGTTTGGAACAATGAAAACATTTCAAACAATTAAAAGACCTGAAGCTCCTCTCCCTGTTCCTTTATGTTCTCCTCTAACTTCAGCCGTGGTGCCAAGAGAGCGAGGCGCCAGGGAGCAGTGGAAAGCGCCTGTCGTCAGCGCTGACGCCCCGCAGCTGCGCCTCTGCTCACTTGCGCTGTCCCTCTGATCAGCTCACCCTGGCTCTGGCGCGGGGACGGGGCATGACTACAGAGGGCCTGCGAGACGCCTGCCCGGCTTCCCCACTGGCCGACTCCCCTGCTCCCAGTCCCCTCCCCAGGCCCGCACCGGCTGTTCAGTAGGCAGCTGACCCTCTGAGCACGTTCTCAGATAGAGGCTACCGAGCTGTGGTGGCATACTGTCATTTAAGATTCGGCCACCCTCGTGGCTACAGCTTTTGACCAGAACTGGGACACTCATTTGTACCTCCTTTTCTGCCCTACTTGTTATTATGGTGGAACAACAAACGAGTCTGTCACCCTTTCTTAGTTGGCCTCAATTATAATAACCAACATTTCTATTTATATATATATATAGCACCTCATAGCTTAAAAACATTTCACATTTAATCCTCACAACAACCCTGTAGGCAGAAATTACTACCCTCATTTTACAGACAGAAAACAATCTCAGAAGTGAAAAACTCAAGAGCACATAGAAAGCAAGTGATGGACCAGGACTCACATCTGGGTGTCCTGGCTTCTGTGCTCTTTCCACTGGCCCCCTGCTGCTGCCCAGATCACAGTGATTCTAGCTCAAGGGTAACCAAGAAAGTAGATGATTCTACACATCCAGAGAATGTGAAGCTCTTCATGAAGCTTGTGTTGCTATAAAGGTTATGCCTTAATAAGCCTGAGGCCGTTAGCACATCTAATAAGACATACAATTTATTTCATTCATTCATTTTACATTTATTTGAGCACCTACTTTGTTCCAGGCCCTGGGGATACAAAAATAAATACCACCTCTGTCCAAAGGGCTGCTACACACAAAAACCTTAGGAACCGTGCTACCTCCTTCCTCTTGAGGCATGTGTTACACTTTTTCATCCTGTCTGCATCATTAAAAACCCATCTGTAGACAAGGACTTCGGCAGAATCATGTGGGACTCACAGTCAAGAACCTGCGCTCTTCAGTAGAAAGCAGAATAATGGCTGAGTTCAGAAGTCTTTAGGTTTAGCTTGAACGTGTGTGAGATGTTTACAGGGCACTCTGAGATCTCGAACACAAGTGCTACCTACAGGTATCAGATATTTAATACGGATCTACTTTACCCTAAGGATAAACGCTGAGGCAGACTCCTGAGCACTTAGGGTCTCGGTGGTGCCGCAGTCACATGACAGTGTATTTATCAACTATATGCGCTCTAAAGAATTCTGCGGGGACTCAGGAGAAAGAAAGAGAAATATCAATTCTGTACATACTTTGACATATTTTCCATGTAGAAGATATGGAGCCTGGAAATCATGCTGACAGTTGGAGTAGGCCATTCCCAAGCCCATTCCAGAGCCAAAGGCTAATGGCCACATTCTTCCTGGTGAGCAGAAAAGGAAAATCCCAATAGGGAACCATTAAGAGAAAATAAAGCTTTTCTCCAGCTTAAATACATTTGCTTAGGGTTCAATAAATACTCCACATGCATCATACTGTTGACTATAATATGCCACACACTTCTGTCAATGTTTAATCACCAGCCAAAAAATGGGAAAGGGGGCTCTATTAAGTACCCATGCTGCTAGATTTGAGGTATTAATAAGCCGTACAATATGAAAACAGCAGACACAGTTGAACCTCTTAACTTTTCTATGTCAGTTCTAACCATTTGCTCATATTAACTAACTCTTAAACTTAGAAATAAAACCACCTTTCGGTAAGGTCTTTGAATTTTTAAAATATGTAAGAATTTCTGGAACTTCCCTGGTGGCGCAGTGGTTAAGAATCCACCTGCCAATGCAGGGGACATGGGTTCGAGCCCTGGTCCGGGAAGATCCCACGTGCCTCGGAGCAACTAAGCCCGTGCGCCACAACTACTGAGCCCACGTGCTGCAACTACTGAAGCCCACACGCCTAGAGCCCGTGCTCTGCAACAAGAGAAGCCACCGCGATGAGAAGCCCGTGCACTGCAATGAAGAGCAGACTGCTGCCTCCGCTGCAACTAGAGAAAGCCCACACACAGCAACGAAGACCCAACGCAGCCAAAAATAAATATAAATAAATAAATTTATTTTTTAAAAAATAGAATTTCACCAATATCTACATATTTTGATTCTAGTAAGTCATGAGGTTTTCTTAAGCCAATGCCATGATTATTTCACATCAGCACTATGTGTGAATTATGATTCTCTAGTTGTGTATTCCCCACCAGTTCTTCATGGAAAGAGGTCAAAGTGACCCCTTTGGCTTCTATTCAATATCCAAACTGCAGAAGTTCTTCCACAAAATGAAAGTGACATTTCCTGCCCTTTGCTTAGGAGAATTTTTGGCCAAAAAGCATGGGTATTTCTGGTCTACTTTTTTACTACCAGCAGGACTCTCGTTTTCAAGTTCCTTTAGAAAAACTTATAATTAATTAGAATTATCTGAGAGTGTAGATTTGGCCAAATGACTCACTGGCATAAAGTACAGGCTTTTTTTAATGAAGATATCAGGCACCCTGACTCAATGCTCAGGGGGAATTCTGGAGATGCCCAGCCCATTTTGACCTTTTTTGAGTCCATGGTCTTTGTCTAGCTCATTTTAGAGGCCTACCCAAACCCATAAAAGGATGGACTGGCAGCCATGTAGCCATGCCTTCCAGAAGTGTCCCTGCCATGTGCACCTATACACCAGGACATTATGTTGTAAAGGTAGGAAGAGTCACACTTACTTTTAAAGAAGGTAAGTGAGAAAACAAGTCCTAATCCAAAACCAGTACCTACAAAGAGGGAGGAAAAACATGTTAAATATCTTAATAGTAATGACAAAAACAAAACGAACATTTCATAAATGTGAACACCTATAAAACAGATTTTTTAATTTGGTAGAGAGATGATTTTCTCATTTCTAACCTTCCTTCTTGTTGTCAGAGGCTTTATCTATGACTTTGGTCCCTTTGCCCCAATAGGGTATAAGAACTTTCTTCACCATTCTGTCTAAACAAGTCTTAGGGATGGGAGAACAAACCAGGAGGCAGTTCCCGAGTAGAGGCTCTCTGCACTGCTTGCGAACAGCGTCCAGCACCTTGGGCTCTCCCACCCACCTTCCGCAGCGGTGCCACAGCCAGCACATCAGGGAAACAATGTGAGCAGGAAGCTCCCCTTGTCGTTTCAGCACTTTGAGTGATGGCTACTTTTTTTTTTTTTTTTTTTTTTTTTTTTTTTTTTTTGCCGTACGCGGGCCTCTCACTGTTGTGGCCTCTCCCGTTGTGGAGCACAGGCTCTGGACGCACAGGCTCAGCGGCCATGGCTCATGGGCCCAGCCACTCCGTGGCATGTGGGATCTTCCCAGACCGGGGCACGAACCCGCGTCCCCTGCATCTGCAGGCGGACCCTCAACCACTGCGCCACCAGGGAAGCCCGAGTGATGGCTACTTTTTGAGGAAGATGCAAAGGAGTGATCCAGAACAGTTGCCAAAGGTTGTCACAAGTCAAACACAAGTCAGAGTGTCCAGAGAGAGGGAAAGCACCTCCTCAAGTGTGAAGATTAATCCCCTCTCCTCATTTTACTCATAGGGCATTTTTAACCACTATCTTTCAAAATAAAAGAACAGATGCAAGCCTCTTTTAATGATCTGGTAGAAAAAAAATTTTTTTAATACCTAATTTTAAATCAAACTTCATAGGAACGTAAGCTTGGGGTTAAAAAAAGAAAACAAAGAAGGTTAAATTCTCATTTTGACCAATATTTCTGAAACCTTGGTCACTGCTACAGTCATAATTTTTGCTAATGCGTACTTCACCTGCACACTTATTTTCTTTGAAAAAACCATCAATGTATGTATTTAATTATATAAATTCAACCTCAACTTAAAAAATATTGGTATAATCATAGATCTGAGTGCTAGCTGTATTTTTTTTCATAAGGTGTGTTAAAATGAATGTAGAACCATTAAAATAAAAACATTTACCTGTGGTACTACTTTAGGAAAAAAAATCATCTCACATACTGTAGAGATACATGTCCCAAACTTTGAGATAAACTTATTTTTCCATTATCAAAAAAGTAAGTTATACGTGCCAAGGAAGACAGCTAAGATCTGACTTTTTTTTCCCCAGACTTGACAGATTAATTGTTTTCAGACTCTTCAGAGTACTCTGACGCTCTTTACTAAGTGTCTGCTCCAAGGTCCAACAGAGACCCTGACCAACCTCTTTACAATTAAGCACCACATAAAAGTCCCAATTCTCACTTGCCTTAATGGTTTTCAAATATGTGCTGTTGAAATTCCAAGAGCTTCTTTCCTGTCTAACCATGAATTTAGGCTACTGCAGTGTGAACATTCAAAGTACTCCTCAGTCAGCAAACCTGACCTTTCTGCTCCAAACACAGAGAACTTTGTCTTGAGCAAACAAGCTAATCCACACCTTTTTTGCTTCACCTATGCAACAATCCAGCTGATGCTGGCCTGAAGAAAGTGTTTATGCTATTATCCAGAATGATTTCTGATAATTTTCTCTTACCGTCTATAGGTGGCCATGATGTGTGTTTCCTTCCTATGACTATATCCTATACAAATATGAATTTTAATTAAAAATCATTACTTTGTACTGTCCAATAGACTCTGCATTAGGTACTGGTGCCCAACTTTAAAATGCAACATTTGAAGATCACTCATGTCATCCCAATTTCTATGTAATTTAATATAATGATGGAAAACTCGTCAGTTTACAGACCACTATAGTTAACCTATTCAAGGCTGTTATAAAGAGAAGGAAAAGGAACAAACATCAGTATTTCCCATGAGTACCCAACATTCCCTCCCTACTCTACCAAAGGAAAAAAAAAATTTATCTTTTAAACCAAACACCACCCTGATATGGTATTACCCCCCAGTTTCCAGATGCAGAAAATAACTTGCTCAAGGACATGCTCAGTTAGTGGAAGAGCAATGAACTGGGCCCAAGTCTGTCAGACTCCAAAGCCACTATACCCACTATGTCCTGACACTGGATTCCCCTACAACTTAAACCCCTAAACAATCACTACCTCCAAGGGAAATTGGAGTGTCAAGATTTCTACTGGCAACGAAGTAGGATACAGCCAAAAACCAAATTGTGCTTCCTATGCAACAGCCCAGAACACTAGGCAACCAGGGTGGTAACAAGTCTGCACAAGGCCAGATGGGCTTGTTCCGATTCATTCCCAGACTAATCCTACAGCACATGTCACAGACACAAGTCTACCTGGTAGGTGTGATTCAAGAACTTCAGGGAAATGGCAACTATCACAATCGATAGTCCTCAGCAAGAATCTGCTGTTGCTCGGTTTATAAAATGGCACAGGATTCAATTTCAAAGCAACTTGCCTCACCCCCTTGCAGCTGGAAGATGAGTAAGACAGTAAATTGGTACTAGAAAATGAGGTAAAGAATTTGGACTGGCCTACAGATTTCAAACCAGGCAATGGGATGGGGAGTTAGGCCAGTAAAAACATAATGGCTTACAATCTGAGCTTTTGGTCTTCTCCATCTGGAAGGCAATTTTTTGGCAAACAAATCAAAAGCCCAAAAGGAAAATATTTCAGCATTTTTCTTGTCCCTCTGATTCCATGCCTGTCTCTCCTATTTTCCCCCAAGGAAAGAAAGCTCTCTGATGCTCAACTTTTCCTAACAGTAGACCAAGAACGATGCTAAACCCACTGCTACCAGTATCACTCAACCACAAAGAGGAGAAATGCTTCAACATCAACCAGTACAGAGCAGAAAATCTTCCCTCTCTAGACTTCATTTAAGTTCAGGTATATGCCTGACCATCCAGTTTTGCTCCGATTAAAGGCATTTACCTGCAAGTATAAATATGAGATCAAAATTACAGTTCAGACTAGCCCAAAGACGGAGTGTACTCTACAGTCTTAGTTAAATTGGGCTGCTACATCTTCAATTCCTATGAGACTTTTCTTCTCCACTTCTATATTTTTAAGACACAAAATATCAAGTCTGTTCTCTTCAGAAAAAATAATATGGAAAATGATGTTTAAATGCCAACGTGTAACTTTAAGTTAGCTACCTCGGTTATTTAAGAGATAAACAGTGGTGGAACTGCTGATGAGTTTTACAGGTTCAAGTTCTCACATGCTCAATTTTCTTTTAAAAGGCAACATGTTGCTTCAAAGAAAGTCCCACCTGATTAGGGGACACCAACTCTGCAGCTGTTTCCACTAAAGATTGGCACCTCTAGGCCAGGTTTAAACTTCATAACAATAAAACATGAAAGGTTTGTCTTACAATGAAAACAAACCAACATGGAAAAGAGAAGAGTTTTCTCTGCCTTTGGCCACTTTTTTTTGTTGTTGCATGACAAGTTCTCTTAGAAGAAAAAGCCAAAGGAAAAAGTACAAAGCATTTTTCACCTTCCCTGGAAGCAAATATTTAACTATGAATAAAATTTATATAACTCTGCCTCCCCTTTTAAGCCTGTTCTTTTGGCCCATGATGTCTGGAATGACAAATAACCCTAAAGTAAAGAAATGCCTGATTGTAGGTACACATCTTCCTAATGGCAAAGTCCACCAAGGGGGGTGGGGAGCAAGGCAAAGAAGCCAAAAAAACAACAAAAAAAAACCCCACCCCATAACAGAGAAGCCTTATGGAATTGACATTAGGCAGGAAGCCCGTGCTCTGAAACCATTTCTTCTAGAAAGGAAAAAGAATTGGCACAAATTCTTTCAAAAAGAAATTACTCTGAATCAATCTAACCCTGCACTTTAGGGCATGCTTAGTGCCCAAAAGGACATCATAAAACCAGCTAGTAGATAAACACACATTTTTAGAAAGAAGCAATTCCTTAACAATTCATCTGATACTATTTTAGTAACAAAACAACAGAGAAGTTGCTCCACTAACTACATAAAAAATACTGCCTCATCACATCCCCAAGTGGAGTTTATAACAAATTTAAAAGAATAACAACCAACAGCAGGATACCAGTGTATACCCTAAGCCACACTTTGTGTGGGGGGGAGCGGAACTATGCTGATGGCCCTCACTGTGACATATGGACCATTTCTAGTTAATCAATGCAACTTTTAGGAAAGTCTTTGCTCTTACCATGCCATATATCATAAAGCTTGACTTCACTGAAATTACTGAGAAAGCAAACATAATCTGCAAGAATTAAGAAGCAGGCTACATAATCTGACTGCAGTCCTGGGGTAGAAATGTACTTTGAATTTTTGGGGGGGCCGCACCGGATGGCATGCAGGATCTTAGTTCCCCGACCAGGGATCAAACCCAGGCCCCCTGCAGTGGAAGCGCGGAGTCTTAACCACTGGATTGCCAGCGAAGTCCCAGAAGTGTACTTTGGATATCAGTCCCTAAGCAGAACAAGTTGGAGCAATAAAGGTTCCTGTGGAATCAACTTTGTAGAAGTCGCAATTGCCAATGGACTTTCAACTGAGGAAGAATAACTCAGTGTTGGGAGAGGCATAAAAAAATCCTTAGAAAGTCACTTAGAAAACATTTCTATGAAAAACTGATCATAGGGGAAAGAAGACCATAGACCCACTTTATTTATCAATAATTGATTATATAATTAAGATCTCACTCCAGCTTATAGTTAACATTTTAAACAAAGCTCCTAAATTCATAAGTCTAATGTGTAGTTATCAATGCTAAATTTTCATCTGCATCTAAAAATTAAACTTGCAAAGCAACTCCATTTTAAGTTTATAATATAACAAGATGTATGAGCAAAACCTTAACTACCACATTCAACTGGC